CCCCACCTCAATCTTCGATTAATAATCGAGTTTGCACGACGAGTGGCGAAAATCACCTGTAAAACAAGCTGCACCGGCCAGATCTCATTATCTTTTCGCCGACGCTTGAGTTAGTAAGCAGCAATCCTTAGCAGTACCAGCCGCCTCCGATTAAACAAAACCCGTTCTCCGAGTACAGGTAAAAAAAACTGATTTCTTATCGCGTTATTTTTGGAAGTAAATAAAAGACACATTCCGATTTATACCGGCTTTATTTTCTATTGAATTTGAAATACCGAAATAATTAATATTAAAGCATTTTGCTCTGTTAAATATCTTTACATTTTTAGAAATATTTATTTTCATTTCTCGACTGAATTATTTTTTTAATTTTATTTTCCGATTTTGGATACGATTAAATTATTTAATAAGATAAATAGATTTAACGATTTAATTGCTGCCAGGTCTAGGTTAATTTTTTTTTACAGTAGTTGGTTCTTTTATTTCAATTTTCTTTCCTTTAAAATAAATACAGGGTGGTACTCGTAATTGATTTAATGATTAAAAAAATAATGTCTGAAAACTAACTAGTGTTTTGTATGCGTGATTGTGTCGCTACACTACTAGTGATTAGACATTATCCGTGGATTTTTTTTTATTTTTATTTTTTATTTTATTAAAAAGGGGTCACGACCGAAAACACATTTTTTTTATTTTCCGTATCTAAAAGTAAATACTATCTGATACCTAGCCAGTGTTTTGTATGCGTGATTGTGTCGCTACACTGCTAGTGATTAGGTATTATCCGTGATAAAATTTAGTTTTATTTTCCTTTAATTTTTTTTTCGATTAAAGTTTAAAAGAAAAGAAAATATTGTCTGAAAACTAACTAGTGTTTTGTATGCGTGATTGTGTCGCTACACTACTAGTGATTAGACATTATCCGTGGATTTTTTTTTTATTTTTTTTTTTAAAAGGGGGTCACGACCGAAAACACGTTTATTTGGTTTCCATACAGAAAAATAAATAGTATCTGATGTCTAGCTAGTGTTCTGTATGCGTGATTGTGTCGTTACACTGCTAGGAATTAGATATTATCCGTGGTTACATTTTTTTCTTTTACTTTGATTTAATTCCAAAAGGGTGGGATATTAGATGGGAAGTTAAACTAGTTACCTGGTACCGATTAATTTTATTTTTCATAATTGTTAATATTGAATTCTATTTCCCCTATATTCCCTGTTCATAACTAAATGCTACCGTAATCCGATTTAATTCAGAACTCCGTGTCATTTGCTTTTATCTGTATATTTATCTAAATCACGTCTGATTGAGCTCCGACCTGTCAAGCCATCGTCCGCAACCGCTTATTTTTGTTATTTTTTTGTTCAGGGTTATAACGACTCATAAGGGGGTGGGCTTTGAAATATTTTAATTTTTTATTATTGTTATTAGCTTTCGTAAGCAATAGATGTATTAATTTTCAAAAAAATTTGGCTTATAATTGTGTCGACCTTTCCCTTTTTCTCTTTCAGCTTCGACAATTCTTTAAACGTAACAATAACGATTAAAGCCCGTTATTGTTACCCTCTTATGTGTATAGTCTTACATCAACGAGACCCCTGGAGTTTTTCCGTCATCTCCACTAGAAGCTACCTGTGTTGTGGAGCAAACCACATTAATAAAACTGGCGCTCGAGTACTTCCGAGTCATAGGGTGTCACTAGTAAGGGTAATATTTTCTTAGAGGCAAGAAAACACCTTACAAAATGGCGCCCGAGCAGGGACCCTGTTGATTTCTGTTAGTTATTTCCGTAGCCCCTGGTATACCCGATATTTTCTCTCAAAAATTTCTTTATTATTTTTTTTATTTTTTTTCTTCAGATTGTAAACCCGTCCGTGAATTATTCTGCCAAGTACCGTATTTATAAGCCAAGCGTAACAATAATTATTTATTATGTAGGTTTATTAAAACATACTGCATTTTAAAGCCATCCCCGGTCAATATTTTTTTTTTTATTTCATTCTTGTTCTACTTCAATACTTATCTGTTCAACGATCTCAAATCTTTTTTTTTTTCTACCTGAGCAAAACCCACCCGTTTTCGGATATTCCCAGTTAATGTCCGACAAGAGTACTAATAACAGAATTTACTAAAAATGCCGGACACCGCCGTTATTATGCCCGAACCGATCCGTACCCAAGACTGGAAAATTTCTTTTGGAAACCAAGATGACCCTGCTGCATTTCTAGAAAGACTAGACGAAATTTGCATTTCGAAAGGCATTGATAAAAACCGATTACTGCCATACTTGCCCGAACTGCTAAACGGGGAACCCGCTTTGTGGTTCCGCAACAACCGATCATTTTGGAACTGCTGGAATGATTTTGAAAGCGACTTCCGAATTTTCTATTTCTCTGTAAACTATCAAATCGACTTAGAGGTCGAAATTGGCCGAAGGTTGCAACGAAGAAATGAATCTGTAACTAGTTATATAATCGATCTTCAAACCTTAATGAGACGACATGGGAACTTATCTGCTGAACAACAATTAGCTTGGCTATATAGAAACTTGTTACCAGAGTTCCGACAACACATCCGAAAGACGGATTACTCCAACATGTCTACGTTTTGTCAAGTAGCTAGGGAGTTCGAGTTGTTAAGAAAGGAACTCCAGAATTTTCCGACTATGAGCTCCGCTCCGAGATATACTAGCGTACGCTACTCTCAGACCGAACCCCGCCGATATCACCATACTGATCCGCCACAAAGAACAGATAGCAGCAACCCCGTTCTAATAGCTGCTGCAGTCCCAGTTACTCAGTATAAGTCACAAAGATTTGAACCACAACCATCCACCTCACGTGGAGAAGTGTTGTGCTGGAGATGTGGTGAGAAGAGACATGTCCGCACTAACTGTACAAATCCTAGTAAGTTGTTTTGCTCGAGATGCCTAAAGGAAGGCTTATTAATGAGAGATTGTACATGTAATCAATCAGCCGCAAAACGAGATAGAAGCTGTTCGAAAGGGAGGTCCAAACAGTTTCAACCGACACTAGCCTCTCAGGAAATTGTTACCATACCCGACCATGATTCCCGACCGCACTTGAACTTAGAAATAGAGGGTGAAAATTTCTTTGCACTAATAGACACCGGAGCTTCCAAATCCTACATTGGTAACAGACTAGCGAAACATATTTCCCATAATAAGCAACCCAGAAAAGCAGTACCGACTTCTGCAAGGTTAGCCAACGGAAATATAATCCGTATTCAAGACACCTACCAGGTAAAGATGAAGCTCGGCAATCAGAAAACTGGCAATCAGAAAACTTCCGAAAAAATAGTACATTTTCCTAACTTAAGTGCCGACCTAGTTCTAGGAATGGACATCCTAGAGAAATACAATTTCAGACTAGAATTGGGAACAGGAAAAATTTCAATAGGTGAGATGCCGATGCCACCTGTAGACAGAGCCGTTTCCTGTTACCCAATCGGAGTAATTGACTCCAATGAACCGACCCCGACTGTTGCCAATAAACCTGTAGTTGTCAGAGCCATGGTCCATGCCGAACGTGAACCTCGTACTGTTCTGGATGCTCCTGAAAAGTGGATGATCAATAGCAAAAAGGGCAAAGAGTCCACTTCTCTGAGTTCCCTCATCCGTACCGTTCCTACCTGTCCAGCAACCCCAACGACAAGTAAGAAGTCGATAGATTTCAAGTCAGGGTTACCGAAGACAACAAAGAACGAAACCAAAGACTCCAAACTCAGTGAAAGCTGTGATAAGGATGACAAGGAAACTAGTAACACACGCTGTCCGTTACAGACTATAACTTCACTTTCTGAGAAAGAGTTAACTACCGAACAGTCCCGTAAACTAGATGAAACTGTATTGACCGCTTTTCGCACTACTGAGGGACCCTCTGAATTAGTTCCGCATGAAATCCGTTTAACAAAACCCGAACCGATTAAACAACGAACAGATCCTAATCCGAGGAATCTAATTCCCCAATGGGACCAGGCCCCATCGTTCACCGCTCCTTCTAATAAGCCCAAAATCCTTAATTTGCCAGACATAGTACCGTCATTAGGGGTGCCAAGGTTTCCTCTGGTCAAGTCTCCTCGATCGTCTCTGCCCGTGTTGATTCATATTTCCAAGGTGATACTCCCCGACCAATGCCCCTTACCGAACTCAACTATCAACCATCTGTGGTCCGACACCGGAGTCGCTCTCCAGGGTTATGAACCCTCGTCCGATTCATCCCTTTTTGAACCCCCGCATCGTTCCCACAATTTTAGCATTAGGGACTCCGATAGTTCCTGTGACGTCATAAGTCTTTTCGGCTCAGACCTTTCCGATGAGACTCCATTTTCCGACGAGAATCCCGCTCCCGTTATTGAAAACAGGAGGGTATCAACCCCGATTATTGTTGCAGATTTCACTACCCTTCCCCCAGGGCTTGCCGAATGGTACGCCACCCCGCCTGATAAAGAGATCCACTTGCCAGTAGACCGAGGTCTGTGTTGGAGGTGTGGATATCCCGGCCACCGGAGGGATACTTGTAGTAGAAAGAAACTTTTATTTTGCTCCCGTTGTGATTTTCAGAGACTGTAAATGTTCTCAGCTGCTGACTCATCCGAGTATATCCGCTACAAGTAATAACTTCTCATTGCGCTCCCGATAAATTGGAGTGCAAACCGACCTATCTCCGCGACGCCATAGCGTCGGTATCCAATGTTATTTAAAGTACTGAAGTCCCGAAGAAGAAGCAAGAACCAAAGACGCACGAAGAATTTTACATGTTGTAAATTTTTTTTTTAGAATTTGTATTTGTTAGGTAGGCTGGAAAGAAAAATAAGCGTAAACCTGGTTTACTCTTATTTTTTTTACCGAAGAAAGGGAGGATGTAACGAAGTTACTTTTTTTTATTTATTTAAGAAATATAGGATCCGTCGGAAAACCGAATTATTATTTTTATTTTATTTTTCGTATTCATCATTTAGCTTTAACGTTAAAAATTCGAGTTTTCAAACGTTTACTATATATTGAATCTTCCCATCAAAATTTTTTATAAGTCAGCGGACGATCGCCTGCATTTCCCCACCTCAATCTTCGATTAATAATCGAGTTTGCACGACGAGTGGCGAAAATCACCTGTAAAACAAGCTGCACCGGCCAGATCTCATTATCTTTTCGCCGACGCTTGAGTTAGTAAGCAGCAATCCTTAGCAGTACCAGCCGCCTCCGATTAAACAAAACCCGTTCTCCGAGTACAGGTAAAAAAAACTGATTTCTTATCGCGTTATTTTTGGAAGTAAATAAAAGACACATTCCGATTTATACCGGCTTTATTTTCTATTGAATTTGAAATACCGAAATAATTAATATTAAAGCATTTTGCTCTGTTAAATATCTTTACATTTTTAGAAATATTTATTTTCATTTCTCGACTGAATTATTTTTTTTATTTTATTTTCCGATTTTGGATACGATTAAATTATTTAATAAGATAAATAGATTTAACGATTTAATTGCTGCCAGGTCTAGGTTAATTTTTTTTTACAGTAGTTGGTTCTTTTATTTCAATTTTCTTTCCTTTAAAATAAATACAGGGTGGTACTCGTAATTGATTTAATGATTAAAAAAATAATGTCTGAAAACTAACTAGTGTTTTGTATGCGTGATTGTGTTGCTACACTACTAGTGATTAGACATTATCCGTGGATTTTTTTTTTATTTTTATTTTTTATTTTATTAAAAAGGGGTCACGACCGAAAACACATTTTTTTTATTTTCCGTATCTAAAAGTAAATACTATCTGATACCTAGCCAGTGTTTTGTATGCGTGATTGTGTCGCTACACTGCTAGTGATTAGGTATTATCCGTGATAAAATTTAGTTTTATTTTCCTTTAATTTTTTTTCGATTAAAGTTTAAAAGAAAAGAAAATATTGTCTGAAAACTAACTAGTGTTTTGTATGCGTGATTGTGTCGCTACACTACTAGTGATTAGACATTATCCGTGGATTTTTTTTTTATTTTTTTTTTTAAAAGGGGGTCACGACCGAAAACACGTTTATTTGGTTTCCATACAGAAAAATATTGTGTCGTTACACTGCTAGGAATTAGATATTATCCGTGGTTACATTTTTTTCTTTTACTTTGATTTAATTCCAAAAGGGTGGGATATTAGATGGGAAGTTAAACTAGTTACCTGGTACCGATTAATTTTATTTTTCATAATTGTTAATATTGAATTCTATTTCCCCTATATTCCCTGTTCATAACTAAATGCTACCGTAATCCGATTTAATTCAGAACTCCGTGTCATTTGCTTTTATCTGTATATTTATCTAAATCACGTCTGATTGAGCTCCGACCTGTCAAGCCATCATCCGCAACCGCTTATTTTTGTTATTTTTTTGTTCAGGGTTATAACGACTCATAAGGGGGTGGGCTTTGAAATATTTTAATTTTTTATTATTGTTATTAGCTTTCGTAAGCAATAGATGTATTAATTTTCAAAAAAATTTGGCTTATAATTGTGTCGACCTTTCCCTTTTTCTCTTTCAGCTTCGACAATTCTTTAAACGTAACAATAACGATTAAAGCCCGTTATTGTTACCCTCTTATGTGTATAGTCTTACATCAACGAGACCCCTGGAGTTTTTCCGTCATCTCCACTAGAAGCTACCTGTGTTGTGGAGCAAACCACATTAATAAAACTGGCGCTCGAGTACTTCCGAGTCATAGGGTGTCACTAGTAAGGGTAATATTTTCTTAGAGGCAAGAAAACACCTTACACATTAAGTAGCATTTTTCGTTTTGCAGACTGATTGTATGAATGACTGCACCGTTAACACATAAAGTAGTATCCTCTGTATATTTGTTTGTCGTCTAAATGCAGAAATTTACACATAAAGTAGTATCTTCTGCAAGCTAAAAATCAGTCAAATAAAAAGAAAAACATTCTTTTCCTACCTGTGCTCTGAATTTCTTTATTTCTTTTTCAATTTATCGTATTTCTGAGACGATTTGCATTTTCGATAGTTTTTACCCATGTTTTTAAAATAGCTGGAAGGTAGTTGGTCTGAATAATGTAAATCACGTGAGATAAAAATTGATAATGAGTAATTTAGGCAGGCAGCGATAGAGAATAACACAAAATTTTAAATCTGAACATGTGGGTTAGCGGCGTAACATAGGTATATTACATGGTTATCTTTATTTCCTCTAACAAGGATGTGAAGCATAATGTAAATAAGATCGGTCCCAAACCAGTAACTTGTGGTACGTCATAAGTTACTTTTTCTCCATTACTAATAATACCATCTAATTCAACTTTTTGTACTTTGTGTGATAAGTAACTGTTCAAAATTTTTTTCTTAATCCATACCTCTCCAACTTTTCTAGTAGTTTTTTGTAGTGTTCTGTGTCAAAGGCTTTAGAGAGATCTAATAATACAGCTATTGTCGGGATTTTTTTATTTAAAAATTCGTAAACATTTGAAGTTAATTTATGAATGGCATCCTCCGTAGACCGTCCCTCTCTAAAAAAGCCATATTGACGGTTACAAAGTATGTTGTATTTATATAGAAAATTACAGATTCGAGTTTTTAATAACTTTTGTTAGAAATTATTGTCTGTAATTTTCTATATCTTGCTTACTCCCCTTTTTATGTAGTAGTTGGATTAGGCCACTTTTTCCAATTTCTGGAAAACAAGCGGTATCAAAACAAACATTTGTTAAATACTTTAGAGGAATTGCAATTTCACAGACTTTCAGCCTCACCCGCCGCGCCTTTCCCATACAAAATTGCGCAAATAACCAATTTTGATTACAGAAAAAATGCACATCTCTAATATCTCGACTAAAACTGAATTATGGTCGATTTCCTTTTCACCTGCACAAGATAGGTTTATGAAGCACACCAATAGTAATGCAATAGCAGATCTAAATCACCTGTATTTCTCGAATATCCACAGTTTTATGCAAACAATTTTCTATGCATCTAACGCATCTGGCTTCTTTAGCACAATATTTCTGGGTATGTCCATAGGTTTGACATCTTATACACTATGGAATTAATTTATTCTTTCTAATGGGTCGGATTTCTATTCTACTCTCAATATGTCAGTTATGCCGAAGATCTTATTGACATCTTCATCGCATCTAAATGACAGTATGAACCTGTTCAGAGACTGTTTTTTTATACTTTAGTTTTTTGGTTGTTTCCAGTATTTCGTATCCTATTTTTCTTAGTTCTGTAACTATTTTTTCAGGATTGCAAGAGCGATGCAATTTCATGGTCATTACTTTTATTGGTCGATTCTGTTTGTTCTCAAAATAGTGCAATGTCTGTTAGTGTCTTTAATAATTTTGATTTGAAAATTATCAATTGCTTGAGCTGAGTTCTCGTAGCTTATTGGTAGTTTTTAATTTTTTTGGGTATTTTTTATTGTGTTTGGTGACTAATTAATTCACAAAACTGTAGTTATTGCTTGCTAAATTTTAGAAGAATGAAATTTGTGTTTATGTAAAATGCTGAAAACACTGCTGCGAGAAACGCCCATTTCACTACAGATTTTTACTTTCCTATCTGTATACAGATATAAGGAAAGTATAGGAATCATGATTTTTTCGACCTCCAGTTTTCGACGGATTTTCACGTTTTGGGGTCCCCTGAATCCGTTTTGACTATTTTCGGAATGTGTGTGTGTGTGTGTGTGTGTGTGTGTGTGTGTGTGTGTGTGTGTGTGTGTGTGTGTGTGTGTGTGTGTGTGTGTGTGTGTGTGTGTGTGTGTGTGTGTGTGTGTGTGTGTGTGTGTGTGTGTGTGTGTGTGTGTGTGTGTGTGTGTGTGTGTGTGTGTGTGTGTGTGTGTGTGTGTGTGTGTGTGTGTGTGTGTGTGTGTGTGTGTGTGTGTGTGTGTGTGTGTGTGTGTGTGTGTGTGTGTGTGTGTGTGTGTGTGTGTGTGTGTGTGTGTGTGTGTGTGTGTGTGTGTGTGTGTGTGTGTGTGTGTGTGTGTGTGTGTGTGTGTGTGTGTGTGTGTGTGTGTGTGTGTGTGTGTGTGTGTGTGTGTGTGTGTGTGTGTGTGTGTGTGTGTGTGTGTGTGTGTGTGTGTGTGTGTGTGTGTGTGTGTGTGTGTGTGTGTGTGTGTGTGTGTGTGTGTGTGTGTGTGTGTGTGTGTGTGTGTGTGTGTGTGTGTGTGTGTGTGTGTGTGTGTGTGTGTGTGTGTGTGTGTGTGTGTGTGTGTGTGTGTGTGTGTGTGTGTGTGTGTGTGTGTGTGTGTGTGTGTGTGTGTGTGTGTGTGTGTGTGTGTGTGTGTGTGTGTGTGTGTGTGTGTGTGTGTGTGTGTGTGTGTGTGTGTGTGTGTGTGTGTGTGTGTGTGTGTGTGTGTGTGTGTGTGTGTGTGTGTGTGTGTGTGTGTGTGTGTGTGTGTGTGTGTGTGTGTGTGTGTGTGTGTGTGTGTGTGTGTGTGTGTGTGTGTGTGTGTGTGTGTGTGTGTGTGTGTGTGTGTGTGTGTGTGTGTGTGTGTGTGTGTGTGTGTGTGTGTGTGTGTGTGTGTGTGTGTGTGTGTGTGTGTGTGTGTGTGTGTGTGTGTGTGTGTGTGTGTGTGTGTGTGTGTGTGTGTGTGTGTGTGTGTGTGTGTGTGTGTGTGTGTGTGTGTGTGTGTGTGTGTGTGTGTGTGTGTGTGTGTGTGTGTGTGTGTGTGTGTGTGTGTGTGTGTGTGTGTGTGTGTGTGTGTGTGTGTGTGTGTGTGTGTGTGTGTGTGTGTGTGTGTGTGTGTGTGTGTGTGTGTGTGTGTGTGTGTGTGTGTGTGTGTGTGTGTGTGTGTGTGTGTGTGTGTGTGTGTGTGTGTGTGTGTGTGTGTGTGTGTGTGTGTGTGTGTGTGTGTGTGTGGGTGTGTGGGTGTGTGGGTGTGTGGGTGTGTGGGTGTGTGGGTGTGTGGGTGTGTGGGTGTGTGGGTGTGTGGGTGTGTGGGTGTGTGGGTGTGTGGGTGTGTGGGTGTGTGGGTGTG